TGCTAACAGCACCTTTTCCTGTTTCTAAGTAATTGTTTAGACTAGAGGTTAGGGAAATCTGATTTGAAGGAAAGCCTTTGAAAGCTTACTTCGCTGTGGAGGAACCTGTTACCTGTTAGGATGGGAAGAAAAAACATTTAACCAACTTTAAGCATTCCCATGCTGTTTGAAGAATTACTCTGTTTTGTAAATAATTACACTTAGAGTACAGTCCTATCCTGATGACCCTAAGCCTTTAACTTGGAGACTGACAGTAATCCAGTGAAGAACAGGAGGAATGGCAGAAGTGACCTTTGCCTTCCTGCTCTATCCACATTGCATTCTTTGCAGGAGCAATCTAGAAGGGGAGGAAAAAGATACAGGGGAGACCAGTATACAAAGGCATTTGTATCCTCCCCACTCAACCACCAGACTAATCCATTTCACACTGTCTGACATTGAGTTCCTAATCACAGAGAAGCAGCCAGTATGAGGCAGAGGGGTAGGAAAGGGGCAGGGATTCCTAGCTCTGAGGTTGAAGCTCTGTTTCTGACTTTAGATCTGAGTATCCACTGTATCCTGTCCTCCACCCCAGATACTGCCTGAAGGCTGTAGGTTTCCTCTTTGAATAAATGTTTTAATTTTTGTTCATGGTGGTGGTGTCAATCCTATGCCTGCACCATAGGATCCAGGAACTTTTGAAAATCAGCGTTGTGGATTATGTACTCCAAATTTTAGGGCATGCAGGCTCTGGACTGTTTGCTTTCTGTTTATTGTTATCTTTGTATTATGGGTTCAAGACTTTCCTTTGGGAGAGCTGATGAAATGTACGTATTAATAGATACTGGACACAGTAGAATTGGTCTTGCATGTTGCAGTTCCTCTTGAGTATGCTAACACAGGCTTCAGTGTTCTCAGTTTTTCTGCTCTGTCCACTTGAGAGGCAGGGAAAACTATTAGGAGTTCTCTTCCCTTTTACTTTCTGCAAATTTAGAAAGTTCACTTTAGGTATGTCAGGCTAAATCCTTTTCTTCTTGATTTACAGGATAGAAAAAGGGGAGTGCTATAAGTAATGTCTACCAGGTTTTCCCCTTTTATCAGTGCAGTACAGGGAGTTGGGTATTAATACTTAACATCTGGTTTCTAGCCAAAAGTTTGAACTTGGAAAGCTTTTTCAAGATTAACTCTGATTTTGAATTAGCAGTTCAAGGATATTTTAATCCTCATAATCATTCAATGCTATTCATTACTGCCTGTATAGAAACAAAGCTGAACAACAAGAACAAAATCTCAGCTCTATTCTCTTCTGTAACAGCCTATATAAATTCATCAGGCTGCATTAAGTAAATGTAGCCTTCAAATAAGCTTGTTGACCTGGGGATAATTGTCCACATAAGCAGGTACTTTTGAAGTCCTTGTGTATAAGAAAATACACAATACAAAGTTCACATACACTTAATGGATCTTTTAAACTACAGATAAGTTGAAGAAGTTAAAACACTTGTATGCAGAGGTTTTATGTGTGTTGTTCTAGCTTTTAATTTTCAGTTGTTGAGCAGTGGCAAATATCCTTACACCCCAAATTTAAATAAACATTCATGCCATTAAGCTCTGGCATCTAATCCTGATACCACGATTATTTACATTTTCCTAGATTCCCATGGAAGTAGAATTGGTTTAGTAAGTTCAAAAGAAAGATGATTCTTATATGTCATCCTGCAAACCTTCCCCAAACTGGTGTGTTCCATATATTTTTGATTATCCCCCCATCACCCTTGACCTCTTTTCAAGTCTGCTGGGGCTGATAGGAATTGTTATCTGAAACATACAGGGGGCACCATGTTGGAGAGGAATTAAAGCAAATTAATGGTTGGTTGGTTATTGGAGCATCCAAACATACCTTGAGTGAAGCTCTTAGGTTTAACTCCCCATATAGGCAAAACTTAACTTGGTTTGATTTAATTCTTATTAATGTGATTATTTTAAATAGCGTAGTGTAAAGTCTCAAAGGAATGGAATAGATTAAGAAAGCCATTGAAAATGGCATTAGATGTTTGTGAATATAGTTTGGGCAGTTGATACTGCTCTCTTATTCTAACAGGCTAATTGTCAAGAGTTTCGGTTTAACAAGTATGCAAAAACTCTTTTAGTGTTTGATAATAACATCCTTGGAGCAGGAAGCCCAGTTGCTCAATGTTACTGCCCAAGACTGCAAAGAGTTTTGTGGTTGACTGTTCCACTTTCTGGACACCAGTGTGCATGCTTGCTGCAATACTTTTACAATACTCTCTTTGCTCTGGTGTTCCTTCAGTCAGCTCAGCCACAGCTGCTGCTCACTGATAATTGCTCTGTGGCCAGGCAAGCAGCTTATTTTGTTATTAATTGGAAGTGAAGCTTGTTATAACTTAGGATACAGTCACATGGCTTCCTGATATTTGGGGAGGGGGCATATGTTTGTTTGGAGTTCCAGCTCCCACCTTGGAAAAACGCTCTGATGTCAGAGCTGGGCGTCTGCTCTTGGAGGACCCAGACTCTTCTTAGTAAGGGAAGTGAGAAATACTAAGCCTGTCATTTTTCAAATGGTTGTGTTGCAAATCTGCATCTTCCCTTTGATGGGTGCTTGGTTGCATAAAAATACATGGTTAGCGTGGATGCTTTTTGCCTTTGTCCCCAACTTCTACTTGTTTCTTATAGTGACTAATATTGACACTTCTGGTTCTTTTGTAGTTCACAGGGAATCTCATTGCTTCTAATGTTATAGAGGAGGAAAAGCAGCAGCAGTAAAAGTGTTCAATCAATTACAGCTTATCTAGTAAAGTACATACAGCAATGCTATATTGTTTCTAGTGTTTAATTGGTTCACTAGTTTCTTGCCTACCCTGTTAAGAGAGAGTTTTTAAGTAGGTGATTTTTCTAATATGAACCCTCAGGATTTCTGTGAAGATTGATCATAATGCCTCATTTTATAGGATTTCTCTTATACGTGCATTCCCCTGACCTTTCAGCTTGTGTGAATACAGTTTTAACATTATTATTATTTTATTATTATTTAAAACATTTTTATGCCATCCCTATCGCAACAAAGGGAAATCCTCGGGGTGACTTACAGCAAAAACAAAGTTATACAATAAAAATATTAAAACCCGGTGTATCTCGGCATAAAAATTTTAAAATCCTACAAATTATGAAGGATGTTTGCATACTACTTGATTTTTCTTTCATCTTTTGCAAATATGGAAAAATGTGGATGGTAGCTTAGCTTCATCTGTTGATAATGTCGAAAGTCATGTAGCTTTTGCACTTTTAAATTAGCAAAGCTCTGCAATGATTGCATCAAGTCAGGTAGGCAGCACTTAATTTTGGATGATGAATTTAAGTAATTCAGATGCCTACAAAGGGGATAGTTGTCCTAGACTTAGCCTAATGTCTAGTGAGAAAAAATTAAGTTTTGCCCAGATTCAGTAGATGATGATTTACAAGCATTTGCTTATACTCTGGTGGAAGACTTTGTCATTACCTTTATTACAAGCAGGAGTCTTTTCACGACTTGAGAAATCTGAGCTCTTCTAGCCTAGTAGTGACAACTGTTCTTGAATAATATAGATGTTTGCTGGGGGAAAACATCCTTCAGTATTTCTATTAGTTTTGTAGGCTAATATTTCATTGAATAAGCAATTTTAGGCTAAGAGAATTTTTACTGTTAGCATTATTTAATAAGAATATATAATAGCACATAACTTTAAAAAATTTTACCTAGAGTGTTGGTCATTTTTTAAAATCTAGTGTTACTTTGATCCAGTTAGGCTTCTGTCTTGTTTTGGTAACAAAACTAAATCCTGCCTTGTCAATTAATCCTTATTTATAATAGAAACATAGTAACAGAGTGAGTCAGAAGGGGTCTTCTGGGCCATCTAGTCTGACCTCCGGCACCAGCCGGCTCCGCACACGGCATGCCCACCAGATGCATGTCCAGCCTATTCTTGAACACCCACACCGATGGGGCCTCAATGACCTCCTGTGGAAGCCCATTCCACACCCTCGGGGTCCTGACTGTCAGGAAGTGCTTCCTGGCATCCAAATGGAACCTTGGCTCCCTGAACTTTGCTCCACTGGAATGCGTCCTGCCCTCCTCTGCAGGGGAGAACAGGTCTCTACCCACCTCCGTGTGACACCCCCTCCCATACCTGTATGTCGCCAACAGGTCCCCTCTGAGTCTCCTCTTCTCCAGGCTGAAGAGACCCAGTTCCCTCTGTCTTGCCTCATACGGCATCCCCTGCAAACCGGCCACCAACCTTGTGGCCCTACGCTGCATAGGACGGATTTATTTATAATAAATAAATCTGTCCTATACTAATCCCTGTGTAGCTGCTGATATCATAAATGTTGTGTTTAAAACATGCTTAAAGCATAACAATACTACAATGCATATTAGATTCCTCTGGAATGATTGTAGTGCTGGCCTTAAATCTTATTTTGAGAGGGAAAAGTTCCCCACAGATGCATGCGGCAATGAAAAAGATACTCCTTCCTTTCTTATGAGCTACAACAAGAAGTGAGACTTGTGGAAGAAGTTATTTGCCATATTTCTTAAAGGAAAAACAGAAGCACTCCCTGTGGTATGCTGGACCAAAGCATCTAGAGGTTTTGGTAAGAGTTGGTCTTGCCAATTACATTTTGCAGTTTTGCAATTTCTTTAAATTATGCAACTTATCCCATATCTGCACACAGTGAAATCTGTCATGCTTATAGTTGTCATTTGCAAGCAGCGGTCTCTCTCCAAATGCAAATGATATCCAACAGGGTGGCAATTTATGTGTAATATTCAGTGTTTTTTTCCTTGTCTGGAGCTGGTTGTGCTCTCATTTCCTTTTGCATTTCCTTTTTGTGAACTGTTGTGCTGTTGTGTGTTTGCATTTTTGTTACTATATTTGTATTGTTTGTTGCTTTCAGAATTGTTGCAAGTTGAAAGTGCAAGACAAAAATTTGTGAAATACTGAAATCTCTGTACTTCTTACTTTTAGCACATCTTCATTGCCTCCTTTAGACTGGCCTTTGCCAGCTCAATATGGACAGTGTGAACTGAAAATTGAAGTACAACCAAAAACTCACCATAGAGCACATTATGAAACTGAAGGGAGTAGAGGGGCAGTAAAAGCATCTACTGGTGGGCATCCTGTAGTGAAGGTAAGAAACACTGGTTCAAGTCTTTTCTCTGAACTACCATTTTTCATGAAATTTGTTGAACACTGTGATAGAAGGATTTTTTAATGAGGATAATATTAACTGAATACTTTGTATCACCCCTGTGCCAGTAAGTGATCCAGGTGTGGATAGGCAACATTACTGAGGCTGCATGTGTAATTTTTGCATTCATCTTTCTAGCCGCACAGCTACTTTTGGAAGTTGGACGATGAAATTGACTCCTATACACCCAGCGTCTAGATAATTACTAGTTGTTTCTGTTATTTAAGAGAAACGCATGACCTATGTGCATGTGGCTCATTCAAATCAGATGGGACTTGAGCTTGTTTTGCTGTCTCTGAATTACATCACTTTGGGAGTGCAGATGAGCCTAGAAATGTGAAAGATTAGAAATAGTTCACCTTGATACAATACTGATTTTTGTTGTCTCCAGAAATGTGATAGATAACAAGGCAAGAGGTGCTTGTTTTGCTACACTTTCTAGGGAAAGAGCAATCAAGTTAGAATATTTTCTGCTTGTTGACCATATTTTATATATGTAAAAGAAATTAATAAAATAAATGAATAAAATACTTTGTATTAGGTTATTCTTCATCTACCATGATGTGATAACTTGATCATGAGATCAGCTATGCAGTAAAAGATGGAGATGCCTTTTCATTGCTTCTGACTTTTCAAAACACACACACACACACTGAATTTTATGTGGATATTTATTGATTTGCACTTGGGCTGTACATGTATGTTATACAAGGTGTATTTCTCAGAGCAAAAATGTAGCATATGAGATGACTCTGATGTTTGTAGATTGTGCTATAAGCTATATCTAATGTAACAACATTGTTTAATTTTCTGATTTTAACATTTGATCCCTCAGTGGATGTTCATGTAGTGTCTTGCAGAGGTATTCAGTCCCCTTTGACTTTTCCATATTTTATTGAGGAATTGAAATAGACTGAATTGGCACTATTTCCACTTGATGTTCATAGGATGCAAAGATAGAAAATAAGCACAAGAGTTCAGTAAACAAAAACAAACTAGTGCTTGCTGGTTTCATGGAATTCACCCCTTTTGCCATGATGTGGCTAAAACACTGCCTCCAGAAGTGGTGCACTGGAAGTAATGGAGTCTACTTGTATGCAACAGTGTCACAAATTCCAGTGCCCCATGACCACATGATTAAATACATCTGGGAATGTCTTAGAATAGTCCAATCCAAGACCAGACCTTAATTCAATTAAGAATCTGTGGCAAAATTTGCAAGTTGCTGTTCCCCGTCAGTTCCCATCCAAACTAATGGATCTGCTTTGCCAGGAAGAATGGACAGACATTGCAGGATCCAGATACATAAAGCTACTAGAGACTTCCCCAAGACTTACCAATTGTAACTGCTGCTAAAGGTACTTTCCCCAAAGCCTAACGTAGGAGAGAATACATGTGCAACCAATAAGAGCTAGTTTGTTTTTGTTTATTTTAGTGCTACAACTTGCACCTTCCCAGCATTTAGTATCTAGCTTATATCAAGTGACATCAATATAAATTAAACCTATTTCTGTTCTAGGTTTTAACAAACAAAAATAGGAAATTCAGAGAGAAAAGAATATGTCTGCAATGCACAGTATTGCCATGAAAACATAGGAATTATGCTAACTCTTTAGTACAGGTGCACACTGTATAATGCTTAGACTTGGGGTAGTTAAACTATAAGAGAAAACACTTGGAAGCCACAACTGACTCAGCCAGCATAACCTATGATGAGGGGTAATGTGACCTGTCAGCCTAAATGTTTGGAGGATCCAAAGTTGAACATGTCCATCGAGCAGCTTAGGTAAATGGAAAAATGTAAGTGATTCTGTATGATTGATATGCAGACATGAGATCAGATATAATGTGCCACACCTGTTCATTCAAGGCTCACACTGCTATCCTATGCATTATATTTGGTGCAGCCTCTTCCCTAGCAAGTACGCGTATGAATGCTGCGTTGGCACAGCCAGCTGCCTCTTCTTAGCAGGTGAAAGTATCAAGGACTGTCTCCTTTGTGCAGTGTGCTACATTTTTGAGCCCTACAATGATTTCCTTTAGAGTTGGGTAGTAACAGGCTTCTTTAGCGTAGGTCCAATTAATTTTGAATGTTTCTCACTGTTCAAAGTATTTTTCTGGAACCCTTCATTCCATTTGAAACATGCAAAGTAGAGTTTTTCTCCTTCAGTTTGCACTTGGATAGGAACATTTTAATACAGAGTCCTACCACCTGGACTTTGCCCTACCTTTTGTGCAGCTCATACTGGTTCAAGGTAAGCTGGTGCTGCCCAAGTTCCTGGAAAGGGTACCAAATGATATTTTATATGCTTTCCATTTTGCCTACCTATGGAGAAAGCTTGAGTCCCCCTTCTCTTACAAATTTGGCAGCAATTAGAATTTGATATTTGTTAGTAATTTCAGAGGTTGCCTTTAGAATGAAGCTCAGTCTGAGGGACAGGGTGATTGTGACCCTGATTATTCTCTTGAACCTTGCAGTAGCTTTTGATATAATCAGCCATGACATTCTTCTGGATAGGTTTATCTAGGCTGAGTGTTAAAGATATTGTGTTGGTGCAGCTGCACATCTACTTGCATGGCAGATTCTAAAGGCTGTGCTTGGAAATTGTGGCTCTTCCCTTTGACCTTTCTTCTTCATGGTCTCTGTGCTTCACACATAGGGCTCTGCACTTGGGTGTGGCCTGCTGTTGGGAAGATTTTCCCAGCTAAGCATTTTGGTGTGAGCCCCCCCCCCCCGGTCCCATAGTTTATAAAGGTGGAACTCCCACCATGTTCTCCAGTTCTTTTCTGACTGCTGTTTTGGGTGCCTCCACTTCATTCTGTTCCTAGTGCAGTTGCGGCTCTGAAGGCAGTGTGCTGGAAATGGGTGTGCTGTGGTACAAAAATGCCCTCCACAGACAGACACTCGCTCAGTCTCTTCTGCTTGGGTGAAGATTAACAGGGTAGATACTTGCCCACATTGCCAAGCCTTCACCTGGCAAACGAGAAAAAACCTCACCAGCAGTCTTAAGCATGAGATGTGGATTCATTCCCTTACCATAGCCAAAATGGTAGCTTTGACTCTACCGGAATGCAATTCCGGTCTCTCGCCCATCATCAGTGGCTTCTGGGATTCTACCAGCTGCATCATCCATGTCTGGGCATTCAGAGGCTGAGGAAAGGCCTAAAAAGAGGCCCAGGAAGAGCCAGAAAATGGAATCCAAAGGTGGCAGCAAAATGGCAGTCATGAAAGGCAAAGAGAAGCCCGAAAGACAGGCTAGAAACCATTTGCTGACTCTGCCTTCAGCATGGAACTGTTAGCCTCTTCTGCCAACAGTCTTAACAATGGACCCTGTGCCAGCCTCATTGTTGGTTCCTGTGCTGCCTCCACCTGTGGTTCAAACCTTCACTCCACCATTAGGTTTGATGGTGCAAGTGGAATGGATGACTCCCCTCTCCTTCTCAGAAGTTGAAATATCACATTCCAATGAGCCCACCACCACTATCTCCTTTGAGACCACTCTGAGAATTGGTTCTTGGCCTTTCATATGAACTGATCTCTTCATCTCCCTCTCCTGCTCTAACAGATGAGATAGCTACACTTCTCTTGAAGGGAGCAATCCAAGCTATTCCACCATCCAGTCTCAACTATGTTTTTTCACTCCTGCTACTTTACAGCAGGCCTCTTTCCCATCCTGGACCTGCAAGGTATGAACTTCTTTACCCCTCACAAGAAGTTCCGCATGATCACACTGCAAACCCTTCTGCTTTTGCTATGCCAGAGGGATTGGTTCACCTCAGTTGACCCAGTGGATGATTATTTTCACATTTCTGTCCATCTGAACTATAGACGCAACAGTTCTACAGCTACACTTCTGAAGCTTTTGAATTCTACATGCTCCCTTCCAACCTTTCGATGGTCCCCCAAGTGTTCACTAAATGCTTATTGGTGACCTTTTACTTCAAGGGATTCAAGTATTTCCTTACTTGGACATCTGGCTCCTAACTGTCTGATTCCTAGAGGGCCTAACACTTTCCATCCACAATACATGTTGCCTCTTGGAAAGACTGGGGGCCCTGCATTAACTTTTGAAAAATCTGTGCTTTTTCCTTCCCAGCTGATCCTTTACATTGGTGCCAGACTGGACTCTGTTAATGCCCAGGCGTACCTCCCTCCAGACAGAACAGAGACACTAATTGGATTGGCCTGAGGGTTCCAGCTAGAAGCCAGGACTAATGTGTGCAAGGTGCAGTGGCTTCTAGGGTTCATGCCGCCAGCTGTTTCTGTCATCCAGTTTAGATGCCTCTGAATGTGAACCAGTTATGGTTTGCACAGGACTACCACCCCCAAAGGAGGCCAATCATTAGCAGTTGGTGCTCCCACATTTCGTGTAAAAGCCTAATCTGGTGCCTGACATGAGTGTGGACTAGGTTTTTACTTTTGCTTTATTTGGTTTTGAATTTCATTTTGCTACACTATTGTATTTTCTTGTTTTGAGTTTGTTTTCTGATCTGCCTCACATCCCATTTGTGTACATGTCTGTATTGCTTTCTTAAAACTGTTTCACTAACTTCTATTGAACTGTATATTATCTATTCTTGGCTAAAATTGATGTGAATGGGTGGCAATAATGTTGTGAGCCATCCAGAGACTCATTGTGATTGGACGGCCTAGAAATATCCCAAATAAAATAATTTAATTAATTAATTAAAAGCCATTTTACCCTACTCTTCCCAGAGCATGTCACAAGGATGAAGAATTACATAAATTCTTCTCCATTAAGAGCCAGCTGCTCAATCTGGGTAGCTTCTTCTCAGTATCCTCTTGTGAAGGGCAAGGTGGTTGATGATCAGTGGCTTATACAAATTAGGCAACTCCTGATCAGTCCAAGGCTGATTTTCATTCTTGTTCGTCAGTACATACTGGGCACAACATGTCTTCCCCTTTCCTCGTTCCGTGA